TATAGTGAGTGTTGCTTTAAGGGCTCGCACACACAAGTGTTGCTTTCCTAAAAGCAATCCACAGTTGGATTGCTCTTCAGAGAGCATTTGACAGGAGGTTACGGGGTATAATTTCGGCCACAAAGCAGTGCAGCTGCAACATGTTTACACTTCTGACTGCTGTCTCTGCAACTAAAGAGGGTCGCGGTAAACGCTCAACTGCAGGGCGCTGCTGCCTCCCAACCACTAGTGTGAACCAGCCCTAAGGATCATGTTAGATGGAAGAATTTGTAGCAGCTACAGAATTGCTTTCCAATTGAAGTTCCAAGCTCCTCGTAGCTCAGTCACCGAGTAATTTGACTTTTTCCAGCAAAATTGCCAGCTTCAGTACCTACGCATGTTATCCAATGAAGCTGAGGAGGATCATGGCACACCTGAGTAGAAACATTGTAGTCCAATACACAAGCTGGAGCTGCTACAAAGTGCCTGAGGAAATGGCCAGACAGACTTGTAGTTGCTACAAAGTGGGAGATGACTGGAAGTATTCTCAGATGTCTATTAACACACTTCAGTCTATGAATATTAACGCCAGTCAATGTCACGACAGACTTCAGTCCTGATATGTGGAGAGGCTCTTTAGAAATCATTCCACCCAAACTAATTCAATTTCCTCAAGCAGATGCTGACTAGGTATAAGGCCGGGTTCACACCTATGCAGGTTGCGTTGAGCTGTTTCTGCATTGCGTTTTGCATTTTTGCTGCGTTTTTGATGTGTCTTGCATTTTTTTAATTTTTCATGTTTTTTTTTTTTATTTTTATCTGCTAGGCAGATTTAAAATGCAGCAGAAATGCACTACATGCTTTTCTGCAGCATTTCCATTGAAGTAAAAAACACAACTTTGTGTTCCAAAAAAGTCCCTGACCCTTTCAAAAAACACACCGGGTGAAAACGCTGAGATGTGGACTGTACTGCGTTTCTGCAAAACGCTGCAGAGAACGCTTAGGTGTGAACCTGGGGTAACACTCTTTATATCCCTCTTGGGTGTCTGTGTTGAAATGTTTTGTGGCTGCAGCAGAGAGGAGTCCCATTCCTTAAAGCGGAGTTCCAGTTGAAAAAGAAAAAATTTGCATTCACAAAAACTGTAGCTGCAGACGTTTAAAATACAGATACTTACCTGTCCCTCGGTCCAGCGGTGTCCTCATCATGTCTGATTTCACCGGCTGTCTTCTCTCCCTGGTGCCAGCATCTTATGTGTGGGCACCCTGCTGTGACAGCTTGCAGCTTTACAGCCAGGTGCCCACTGCGTATGCACGAGTAGCGCTGAGCCTTTGGAAATGCCCCGTAGTCTTCTGAGACCTGTCACGTGTCCCAGAAGACTACGGGGGGGGGGGGGGGGGGGACAACTTCTGCTTCCGATCGCCTTAGGTGATCTCAGCGGAAGTGGGAGGGGTACCTGCCAAATTCGGGTCCCCGCTCCACAAATGTGCCAATCCTTAATGGGCAGCGGGGGACAAAGGCTTAAAGTGGAACGGGTGGAGCTCTGCTTTAAGTCAGCCATAGATGGATTGAAATTCGGAGGGTTCAGCAGGAACCAGACACATTTTAGATCCATCTATGAACAGGCTGGTTATACAGAAGTCAACCCGCTGCTTGAATGAAAAACCAGTAATGTATGGCCTGCCTTAGTGAGAATGAGAAGCCACCAAAATGGGCGTGGGTCTGGGACAAACCTGGGGACTTGGTGTCAGCAACTTGAGAGCAGGTCAATCGAAATGTAAGCATTGGCCACAAACATCCATTTTGATTGGATTGATCTTCAAAGAATTCAGACTGAAGGCAGACATTTTTGTGGACTTCTCTGTACAGCCTGGTGTGTGGAACCAATGATGTCAGTAAGATTCCTTGTTGGCTTTCTGATTCCATTAAAACGGAACTGCAGGCAAACCATTACATGAAATACATACCCAGGAGCTGGTTTACCTGTAGGCTTTGTATTTCTTTCCATACACTTGTGGCAATTTACGCAGCTCTGCCACACAGCACAGCCCTGTCCTACAAAGCAGAAGACCCGTGTTTTCCCATGCGGTGCGGTACAAACGCATGTGTTTCGCTCAGGAATGCGCATTCCTGTGCGAATCACCTGCGATTTGTGTGCGGTGCGATTGGAGCAATACATTATGTACGGCTCTAATCGCATCGCACCCACACCAAAAACATGCAGGACCCTTTTTTTGGGTCCGCACTAGAATTGGATCGCATGGGTATTCACACCTATGAGATCTGATTCTGCACATCGCACCGCGTTTTGCGGATTGCTTTCGCAGTGTTGTCAACATACACACCCGCAGTGGTTCGCATGAACGGGGTGCGATTGTGATGCGGTGCGAATTCCCTGTGAACCAGGGCTTAGAGGTCTTGCCCCTCTGCCAGCCTGTGATTGTACTGTGAGAGATGCAGTAGACTGAGGAGTTCCTCTCCCTACCACTCGGCTCCTGTTGGCATGTTCCTTGTTAGTACATGAGTCCCGCAGCATAACTGATCGCTTCCTTGTTCTGTTTTTACCTTTCCTAGCCTGAGCTCTGCTATACAGGGATAGCGGCTTATACCAAGCTAAATTCAGGTACTGACACTGCTTACATTTCATCATGTACTAATGATTACGGAGCTGCATTAACTTGTGCCTTTTATATGCCTAGCGTTCAACTTTAAAGTGAAAAAATAAAAAAAGTGAACAAACACCATACACCTGCCTTAAACCTTGCTTCTCCCTGCTCCCTGCTGTACTCCCTGCTATGCTGAGCTGCCAGAGCCCATGTAGCTGGTCCAGCAGAGCATGGAGTTTAGATCCTTGCTCTTCTCCCTCTTCTCGCTGCAGCGCTTCCAGGATGGACCAGATCAATTCCGATTGGCCAGCACCTGCACGGTGAATCGCTCTGGTCTGTCCTGGAAGTGCTGCACAGAGAAGAGGAAGACAAGTAAGGATCAAATCCCCAGATTGTTGGACCAGCTGCAGGATCATGACATCTCAGCATCGCCAGTGGTAAGTACAGGTGGAATGGGAAGGGTGTACGGTGTTAGTTCACATTTTGCTTTTCATTTTTTCTGTAATGCTACATTCACGCTTTGCAATTTTGAATTGCGGGCGGAATCACTGCGATTCTGCTCATGATTTCAGATTGCACTACAATCATTGCAAAACTCCCCACACGTGCTTAGGTGCCATTCATTCTTAGTGGCACCTCAGCAGTGGAGCAATTTCGCAGCAGATTGCGTCACGCTTGTCGTCCAAAAAGAAGGAGCTTCTTTTTGGGGGACAGCTTCATGCAATGCGTATTGCCACATGGTAAAATCGCACTGCAGTTGAAGCGCAATTAAGAGTGCATGTCACCATGGTTGTTTTGCTACAGTTGTAAAGCGATTTGGAACTGCAGGCATAATCGTGGCTATTCTGCCCATGACTCAGAATCGCAAATGTGGCCTAAAGGTAACACTTCAAGGATATCCCAGTGACTTGAATGTCTGGATTGTGTGAGGTTGCACATTTCTGTCTCTTTTCTGTGATATGGCAGTTGAAGGTTTCCCCCCTTGTTATGTATACTGACATACAACATCCTCACCCCCCTCTCTGCAGACGCTGAGCTAATCTATGCTGATATGTTATATGCAATACAAGGATATGCAATGTAATTGTACATACAACCCTGCCATTACTACAGCAATATCTGCCATCTTTCTAGGTACCTATAATGGTGATCTATATATATATATATATAAGTATATACAGAGAGAGAATCACTCTAAGTATTCATCGACAACATAATTCAAGTGGCTATTTAATGAATATATATATATTTGTATGTACAGAGAAATCTTTAAATATCTTTTAATGTTTTATAAATATTTTATATTGTAAATATTTTAAAGGTGCAATCCAATTCAGCTGACACGTTGGACTTTGCAGTGAATCCTTGAAGTGTCTGGCAGGTCCTTGTATTTCAAATTAAGAAGGACATGTCCCCTACTCATAGTTGAAGTCATTATTTTGTTGATGGATAATTAGGAGGCAGGCTGTGAATTGAGAGGGGAGGAAGCCCCGTTGTGCTATGTGCTGTCAGCACTGTGGCATCTTCCTGGTAATTTACAAGTCACATTGGGTTTTAGCTCACAAGGGTGGCTGAGCTCAACTGTGTGTAGACAAAGGGTCTATTTAAAGGGTCAATCCACCTAAACGTGATATGGGTGGATGTCGCCTGCTGGCTTCTTGTAGCTTTCTGGCATATCAGGAGTGAGATCTCCCAAAACCATGGAGTCTTGCGCTTCCTTCTGCTGTGCGAATTTTATACCATGAACAAAATTCCACCTCCTGGGGCTCATGCACCTAGATGTAAAATATGTTCTGATCCGTAGCGTGTATAATTGTTTACAGATCTGAATGCAGCATATACCGTATTTTTCGCTCCATAAGACGCACCTGACCATAAGACTCTCCTAGGTTTTAGAGGAGAAAAAACGAGAAAAAAAATATTCTGAACCAATGGACTGCAGACATAGTACAGGAAATGAGCAGAAACTGCGGACACGGTAAAGGAGATGACCAGAGACTGCGGACACAGTACAGGAGATGACCAGAGACTGCGGACACAGTACAGGAGAAGGACCAGAGACTGCAGACACAGTACAGGGGATGACCAGAGACTGCGGACACAGTACAGGGATGACCAGAGACTGCGGACACAGTACAGGGGATGACCAGAGACTGCGGACACAGTACAGGGGATGACCAGAGACTGCGGACACAGTACAAGAGATGACCAGAGACTGCGGACACAGTACAGGAGATGACCAGAGACTGCGGACACAGTACAGGAGATGACCAGAGACTGCGGACATAGTACAGGAGATGACCAGAGACTGCGGACACAGTACAGGAGATGACCAGAGACTGCGGACACAGTGCAGGGGATGACCAGAGACTGCGGACACAGTACAGGAGATGACCAGAGACTGCGGACACAGTGCAGGAGATGACCAGAGACTGCGGACACAGTGCAGGAGATGACCAGAGACTGCGGACACAGTGCAGGAGATGACCAGAGACTGCGGACACAGTGCAGGAGATGACCAGAGACTGCGGACACAGTGCAGGAGATGACCAGAGACTGCGGACACAGTGCAGGAGATGATCAGAGACTGCGGACACAGTACAGGAGATGACCAGAGACTGCGGACACAGTACAGGGGATGACCAGAGACTGCGGACACAGTACAGGGGATGACCAGAGACTGCGGACACAGTACAGGGGATGACCAGAGACTGCGGACACAGTACAGGAGATGACCAGAGACTGTGGACACAGTACAGGGGATGACCAGAGACTGCGGACACAGTACAGGGGATGACCAGGGACTGCAAACAGTACAGGGGATGACCAAGAGACTGCAGACAGTACAGGGGATGACCAAGAGACTGCAGACAGTACAGGGGATGACCAAGAGACTGCGGGCCTTTAGGGAGGGAGGGAGAGCGAGTACCTGAATTTGACAGGTACCTGCTCCCCACTTCCGCGGAGCTGTCCTCCCTTTACTGTGGCAGCCGGGTGCCCACTGCGCATGCGTGAGAAGCGATGCACTTTGTGAATGGCCCGGTGTCTTCTGGGACCTGACGTGTGTCCTGGAAGACGCCGGACCATTCACAAAGCGCAGCACTTCTCATGCATGCGCAGTGGGCACCCGGCTGTCACAGATGCTGGCGCAGAAGACTGTACAGCGCTGGACCGAGGAACAGGTAAGGTCCTGTATCAGAGAACAGCTGAGCGGCTGGCCCGTTATTCTGACGTGGTGGCGGAAATATCAGACCGGGCGCTTTATATTCGCTCCATAAGATGCACTGACATTTTCCCCCCTTTTTTGGGGGGAAAAAGTGCGTCTTCTAGAGCGAAGAATACGGTAAATGGCCCCTTTCGTACAGCTGGGTTTATCTCAGTGATGATGCACAAAATGAAAACAGTCAATTCTTCACCTGTGGTCAGTGATTTCCACGTACAGAATAAATGTTTGTGTATCTGTACATTTAAGAGGTCACATTTCTTTCATGGTATATAGGTTTGCTTTATAACCTTTTGGCTCCTTTTATGTTTCCATGGTATGACCTGTACATTTATACTACCTGCTGTAGGAGTTGCCTTAGGCCCCGTTCACATTTTGCGCAGCAGTAACACGCGCTCCCGCTTGGCAGTTTTTCTTTTATTTATTTACACGTTTCCACATTTCATGCCTAGGGCAGGCCATTCACTTAAATGAGCTGCTCTTTGTGTGTTTCTTTCGCCAACTAAACTCAAAGACCAAATTTTGGCCCTTAGCCTGGTGCTGTGTTTCATGCACATTTTGCCGTGTGAAATTGGCACAGCGTTTTGGGTGCCATTAAGAATGAATTGCACCCAAACGCGCATTTTGCGCTGATTTTTGCACCTATTCTGCCAGCAATTCCAAATCGCTAACTGTGAATGGGGCTTCTGCTGCATCAGTTGGTGAGGTGGGATCAGATGAAGATTCAACAACTGTGGGCTCAGCCAAACTTTTTTTTTTTTTTTTTTCTGAAACTAGAACCCCAGTCAGGTTTTGACTGCTATCCCGGGCCCTATTGGACAGATTTCCCCTCACTTCCTGTCTGTTACAACAATTTACCAGAAAGGAAGTGATGGGAAATCTCCAGCAGCAACACAGAAATCAAACACCTTTTTATTTATTTTTTTGGGGTAATGCTAGAACCCCATTCAGCTTTTATTGCTGCCTGTCTCTCAGTTGTAGTGTCACCTCACACTTTACAACAATTGTCATTGGGGGGGGAAAGTCTCTAGCGGAGCCCTGGGTAGTAATGGAAATCTGACCGGGATTCCAATCTTCTCCACGCTATCCAAAACTAAAAAAAAAAAAAAAAAATCTTGTCTGCACAAACGCTTTAACTCTCTGGCATCTACCTGAAACTAAAAGTGTATCTAAACCCAAGAAGAGAAATGTAACATATTGCAGAATACCTGTCCTTAGATGTGGTGGCTGCATTAGTTTGCTTTTCTCAGGCTTTTTTTTCCTTTTATTTTCACTTGCAGATCCTGCCAATAACACACTTCCTGTCTAGGGTGACAATACTCCCACACCGTGCTGGGTCTATGGAGGGGCATCGTTGTCACCCTAGGCTGCTCTCCTGTTTTAGACTACAAAACACCCCCCCCCCTTTCCTCATCTACATTACATAGAGAGGAGGGGCTTTGTATATGGTTCACAGAAGATTGCTTGGAAACTGTTCAAAATATCAGTTCAGGACACAGGAATACTCAAGGGTAATGGATTTCTGTCCGAATCAAGTCAAATGTTTCTGTAATTGCAGAAAATGTTTTTAGTCTGAAAAAAGAACAATAATGCAGCCACCACATTTAAGAAATTGTAAGCTGCAAAATGCTACATTCTTGGGTTTAGATGTACTTGAAATATGAAGTTTGAATGGGTTAACCCTTTAGGAAAGCCTGGACCCTGCTAAACAATACAAACGCCTCCTCGTATTTCTAGGACATGAATGCTTCCTGCAGTGCCGGATTCTACAAGCGTCACCCTTACACAGTACTGGTTACTGTGAGCGTCTGGGAAAGTGGTTGGAGCTGGCCAGTGTAGCCTAGAGCATCGCCCCAGCCTGCCAGCTGCCACCACCTTGCTGTACAGTTACACCGCAGCAGAGGGTTCTGGGAAATTCTCAACTGAGGTGGGAGATCTAGTCTCTCAATTGCTCGTTCTGTGCGGTGATAAGGTACAGATATTTTTACAATACAACACCAAGTTCTATTTTTGTACTCAATGCAAAATGGTTATTTTTTAAGGCAGCCAATGCTGTTTTATTAAAAAGAAAAAAAAAAATGTTGAAGTATTTTGCACCTGTAACATTCACACGCCTGTCTGTATTATTCTTATTTTACTCACATGTTACATACTACCACAACTTCTTTTTTTTTTTTTTTGGTAAAATTGTTTACACAACCCAATGTGAACTCAGTCTTGCTTATTGACATGTAAAAAGTTCTGCTCTTATTAAATGCTTCAAAATTGTATTTTCTACATGTAATTTATATATAAATATATATATTATGTTTTTTCTTGTATTCGACAACTGTTACACAATCTGGTAAACTGTTAATATATAAAATTTTTGATTTGTTCTCTTTTTTGTGTGTGTTGTTATATCATGTTTGTGTATATGAAGGCAGTAGGTAACATTCTGATGTCATCCAGAAAGTGTTTCTTCTGTGGAAAATCAACTCAGCTGGCACCAGTCTGAGGATTCTGTAGCTTGTGAGTAGGACTGCAAGGTCTTGCTATATTCTTCCCCACACAATTAAATACCATTTTATAGACAGCGCATAAATGATATAAACAATACAAATTAATATCCAGAGTTATAGTATTAGGCAGCACACATCTATAAACTGGTTTAGGGTGTAATCCCAATATGTGACATTAAAGTGCAATCATGCTGGATTCCTGATTGTGAACTCCGTGTTAAAGTGACAGGTGCCCCACATGGATGTACACTCACCGTCATCCCATGACCACCTATCTCTAGGATGGTCACTAGTGCTGTTATTGGGACTTTCCCAAATTGCATGGTTTGATGGTGACCGCTGTTCCTTCTTATTATTATAATACAGGATTTATATAGCGCCAACAATTTGCTCAGCACTTTACATTATGGTGGGAGACAATACAGTAACAATTCAATACAAGAGGGGTTCGAGGGCCCTGCTCCTTGGAGCTTACAATATTATGTGTTCCACACCGTTGCTGATGGTAACTGATGTGTATTCACTAGGTTAGGTTGTAAATATTAACCTGCCTAGCGGTCTGATTATGTCAGTATTTCTGTGCTCAAAGCGGTACATTTTTTTGCATGGAAATACGTAGTTTGTTTTATTGTAGGCTGTAATTTTTATGAATAACTCACTAAAATCTGTCCAAACAAGAGTCTAGTAAACACCCCGGGTAGGATAAAATTTGAAACCCAAAATTATAATTTAATAAATAATCATTAAAAACAATATAATAAATGTAATTCAATAATATATTCAAACCAAAAACACTGAAATTTGAAATATAGCGCCAAGTTCGCACATCGCTGAGCAAAGTCGCAGAATCGTTTTCAGTGTCTGATGACGAATTTCCCCACGAATCATTATCACACAATTCTGCAAGTGGTTCTGATTTACTATCGCTGTTCTCTAGCTGGTCTAAAACCGATTTTGACCTAAAGGGACGCTTTTTGGACGCCATGGACGTTTCTCAGTTTCCAGGCAGAAAGAGCGGTAAAAATGCAGGCAGGGCGCAGGACAAAGCACTCGAGACAAAATGTATGTGAAATGGTTTGATACAGTAATGTTTTACTATGTGATTTTAGTGTATTAGTGAATGTCACTTTTTAAAATTTTTCAATTTCCCGCCGTTCCATCCCCCGTACGTCCTGATGTTGCAGGGAACGGAACTCGGAAGACAGATGCTGGCATCGGCCGGAGGACATTGCCGGGGACGCTGCAGGAGGGACATCGCGGGAGCGAATGACAAGATAAGTGCAGAAGAGAGCCCGGAGCAACGCTACAAGGTATTCCCGAGTGTAGCTCCGCTTGTGCTGCTGAAACTTTACCCCGAGCTGCACTCGGGAATACCGCCAGGGAGGTAACCAGTGATCCTTTTGTAAAGCTAGTGTAATAATAGCACTACTCCTCCCCTCCACAGGCAATGTTGTAGGTTGTCAGCATAAAAATAAAACAACGGATATTCCATAGTGTAAAACTATAAATCTTTAATACTGGCGATAAATAATGAAATTGCCACTCACAAAATAAGTGCCTATTACTTGGCACTGAGTGTATTCAGCTCTGCTGTTTGTTAATGGAAAAAAAAAAAAGATGGCCCCCACGTTCCAGCGTGCGTTCCAAAGGGCGGAAGTTGCGTCATCAAACCTTGACGCGTTTCAAGACAATGCAACCTGCCTTTTGCACTCTAAGTGCCGGGTAATACAGGCGTAATTTGCGAATTGAAATTGCATCTAATGAATGGGAATGTCAGTGTCTTAACGTGTGATTTGCTGCAGCATGATTTCTAGTCGCCATGGTTTAATTGCACATAACATGTAAACATTCACAGTGCAGGGAGGAAAAACTATGTGAACCTTTGGACTTAATAACAGCAATAACCTCAACCAAACGTTTCCTGTAGTTGCAGATCAGACCTGCACAACGATCTGGAGTCATTTTGGACCACTCCTCTTCACAAAACTGTTTCAGTGTAGCAATATTCTTGGGATGTCTGGTGTGAATCGCTCTCTTAAGGTCATGCCACAGCATTTCAATCGGGTTGAGGTCAGGACTCTGACTGGGCCACTCCAGAAGGCTTATTCTGTGCTGTTGCAGCCATTGTTTTGTTGAATTACTTGTATGCTTTGGGTCATTGTCCTGTTGCATCACCCATCCTCTGCGGAGCTTCAGTTGGCAGACACATGGTCGTACGTTTTCCTGCAAAATGTCTTGATAAACTCTGGAATTCATTTTCCCATTAATGACAACAATCCGTCCAGGCCCTGAGGCAGCAAATGTTTACAGTGGGGATGAGGTTTTGATGTTGGTGTGCTGTGCCTTTTTTTCTCCACACATAGTGTTGTGTGTTCTTCCCAAACAACTCAATCTTGGTTTCATCTGCCCACAGTATATTTTGCCAGTAGTGTTGTGGAACATCCAGGTGCTCTTTTGGAATCTTCAAACGTGCTGCAATATTCT